CAGAACAGTCTCGAATTAAATTACGCTGCCTCAATCCAAGAAATGCCATACTACCTATCTAGAAGAATTTGACTGGCCATTGAAGTCTGTGATCAGCGAAGGCGTATCCACTGCACTAACTTTTATCTGGCGGCATGTACAGTGCACCAACTTCCATTCTTCACTTTTCCAGACAACACGCTGCGGACAAAAATGTGACTAGCAAGTATTACACAAGAAAAGATCAATTTTAAATCGGAGTTGGTTGGAAAAGCTAACATGAAGCTTTAGTGTGAAAATTTATTAGCTAGAGAATGATCTTTAGAAGAGTGTAGGTGGATAGTTCCGTTAGAGTACGGCAGTATGAAAATTGAATAGAAGTTGAAAATGAGCGAAGGGCCATTAATGCGACAGTTTTTGAGGTTAGACGCACATCTTTTGCCTAACCCGTACGATGTACGCGGAGACTTGAAGTATGTCTTCAAGTCTACACTGCCGGTAATCGCAACTCAGTCCCATCTGTAAATAGCGAAAATGAGAAAACAGCGCGCAAAGATTTTACATGTTTTCTCGTTTTACGCTTATTTCGGATGGATAACTTTGACAACGAGCTTTCTTATAGAATCCATCTATATTTAATCAAACACATTAAAAAAAAGCAAAAGAAACATTTTGGATGCCCAAAATCTGACTGGGACCGACTTGCGGTTACATTGCATATAAATCAGAAAAGTAACCGCAAGTCAGTCACATCGCTATAGCGACGCTGTTTCAGTTCAACATGAGCGACGATTTTTGAGCGTGTTCTGACAGCGACTGTATCTTTTGATTATTCGTGGCGTTTGAAAAGTTTGAAAAATGTCAGTGCTCAATTATCTTTCGATGTACGGAACGGATGAAAGCTCGTCTAGTGAATTGTCTGATGAAGAGTTTTATGGTTTTGGTGACCGTAAAGAAAAATTTGTGGATAAATCCAGAGCTTCCGTTGTTGCACTTGCAGCTTCGGCGGAACACAAAGCCAGTGGCTTTGAAAATCCATCCGAGCTTCGAGAAGCCATCTTAGATAGCTACCCGAATGAGTTCATTGATTCAGATGGAAGTTTTTTTGATGGAGAGGAATCTTCGACAGGGGCTACGAAAGTTAAAAAGCGAACGAAGAAAGAAATCCAGAAGGAAGATTCTGCTAAGAAGAGGCGCAAGTCTCATGGCATAAAACCAATAGACTGCAAATGCCAAAAATAATGCGCAAAGAAAATCGGCAAGGATGACAGGATCCAAATTCATGGACGATTCTGGGATTTGGATGCTTCTGAACAAGCTGCATTTCTTAGAGAGACAGTTCAGCTGGCGCCTTTGAAACGACGAGTTAAAAATCAGTTCATTCTGGAGGAACCAAAGAAGAAAAAAAGCTTCATATTCCATTTAACGGATAGCAATATCGAGCGTGTTGAAGTTTGCCGAAAGTTCTATTTAAACACAATCGGGTACAGCGATAATTGCGGGTAAGAAATATAGTTTTTTAACGTAGACATTTGTATCTATGATATATTTATTTATTTTAGAAATGTCGTGTACCGATGCGTCGATGGTGATGAGGATGGAAACCGAAGATTGTCACAGCGAGGGAAGCACAGCCGGGATACGACTAAGAGAGATTCGGTAGTGGCGCACATCAACTCCTTCAACCCAACCATTTCACATTACAGACGTGAGCATGCACCCAACAGACTCTATTTACCGTCCGACTTGACTGAAAAAGCAATGTTCGAGCACTACCTCAATACAGAAAACTTTCCAAAAGTTAGCTACCCATTCTATTGCCGTATGTTGAAGGAGATGAACATTTCCTTGGTCAAGTTGGGTCACGAAGAATGTGAGCTATGCACTACTGCTACTCAGCATCAAAAAACATCAGAACATGTCCCATCAGCCACTCTTGAATCCTCGGCCGAAACTAAGTCTTGTTCGATTTGCGAAAGATATATCCAGCACTTGCGTTCGGCAGCTATGTCGCGAGATGCGTACCGAAAAGATGGCGATGATGTGAAACCCGGTTGCGCCGTGCTTTCTGTTGATTTACAAAAGGTGAGTAAAATATGATCGACAAATAAAATTATACATTTCAGTATATTAACCACAGTAAATGTGTTTTCTAGGTGATACAACTACCAAGGCTTGATGGATTTAAGAGCATTGTATTTTCTCAACGTTTGTTGGCTTACAACGAAACTTTTGCATCGGTGGGAAAATACGCAAAGATTCTTCCTGTGATAACATGTCTATGGGATTAGTCGACTGCAGGACGTCACGCTACCGATATAACTAGCTGTTTCCACCAAGTAATCGAGCGATTCAACAACTATGAGGAAATAATTTTCTGGCTGGACAACTGCAGCGCCCAAAACAAAAATTGGAATATGTTCCAACACATGATACTTTTGCTGAATTCTAATGCTGTTAGTGTTAGAAAAGTTTCCTTCAAGTTTTTCGAAACTGGACATACGTTTATGGCTGCAGATAGCGTACATGCTGCCATCGAAAAAAGCATGCGCAATAGTAAACCAGCTCAAACATTTCCAGATTTTTCAGCATTGGTCGAAAAGGCCAAAAAAAAAACGTGGAGGTAATGAACATGAAGTTCAGCGACTTTTTCTGCACGACCATAAACACCAGCCAGTACGTAATTAATCAGTGCAAACCTCGACCGTATATTGAAAATATAAAATACATTATTTTCAAGAAAGGAAGCTTCGAGCTTTCTTACAGCAATGCTGTCGACGGAAGCAAACCGATGAATCGATGTACCCTATTCTCGAAAAAGCAAATGAAGCAGATTCAGTGTGACGGATTTCTTTTGGAAAACACCTTGAAACGGCAGGCTTCGCCCAAAGGAATAGCTGCAGACAGAAAAGCTGCTTTGCTTAAAGTTATTGCACCACTCATCAACGCCGACAGCAAATCGTACTGGACTGATTTGCCAGAGCAGCATTCTTCTTAACCGGATATATGACAACTAGTCGTAAATGCATAGAAACGCTTCGAAAACTTTCAGCGGAGATGCTTTTCTATTCAATTGTTATCAAACATTATCATTACTTAATAAACAAACCTAAAAACAAAGTTATGACGTTGTTCTCTTGATTATTTCGTGAAATTCGTTTTTTTTTTTCCAATGGGACTGACTTGCGGTTACTTTCCACTATGGGACAGTTTGATTTGGTGTTGTTTTCCACTTTTCTAGAACAAACTTACTTTTTTGAATAGCATAGCTGAAAATACATGAAAAGTTAAGCTAAATGACGACCCTAACTCAAAATTGATAAAAATGCAGATGGGACTGACTTGCGGTTGCCGGCAGTAACAGGTAAAAGATGTGCGTCCTCCTTCTGCTCATAACTGACTGCGGCTGTGGAATAGTTCTAGCGACGTTTCATCACTACCTAAAGCCCCACGTTTGCGAGAAACGTCGCTAGAACTATTCCACAGCCGCAGTCAGTTATGAGCAGAAGGAGGACGCACATCTTTTGCCTGTAGACTTGAAGACATATTTCAAGTCTCCGCGTACATCGTACGGGTTAGGCAAAAGATGTGCGTCTAACTTCAAAAACTGTCGCATTAATGGCCCTTCGCTCATTTTCAACTTCTATTCAATTTTCATACTACCGTACTCTAACGGAACTATCCACCTACACTCTTCTAAAGATCATTCTCTAGCTAATAAATTTTCACACTAAAGCTTCATGTTAGCATTTCCAACCAACTCTGAAAACGCTAACTTCACATATGAAGACACATAAAAACACTTTGTATTTTAAATCGTTTGTAACGGCGTTAAAAGCTGAATTAAATACAACATTCTAACTATTTACAAATGCTGCAGTAATCAGTTTAGAGCTAAACGCAAATCGCACTTATTTTAAATTCACTCTTGGTCCAACATTACCACTGATCTGGTAACACTAGTGTCCATCTTTCCAATGATGTAAAGATTCAGACCAGCCCTGGGACCTGGTAGCCTAATCCAACTACCTCAAGGTTTCACCAGTGCCCAGGGATGTGCTCATAATTTATTATGCACATAATGCTCATGTTCATAGTTTGTGATACAAATGTAATCGCGGCATAAATTAAACACTTGACACGTGACTTTCCGCGATAACATTTGAACTCGTGATCTTCTCCGTGAGACACATGGGTTCTAACCATTACGCGAGTTCGTATTCAACATTATTGAACGGCAAAAACCAATTTTTGCCGGCGCCGGTGGTTGAGTAGAAAGTGTTACTGCTTTCCCACCCCAGTAGGTCTAGGTTCAATCTCAGCCGAGGTCGTTTGGAGTTTTCTGGGGCCAAACATCTTTAGTCACGTCTTCCTTTAGAAGGGAAGTAAAGCCATTGGTCCCAGCCCATGTGCTGATAGGTTCGATATATAGGGTCCAGGTGTGGAGTCGCCACCCTGGCTTCGGTGGTTGAACTCGTTTACGGAGCAAAAACTGACGGAAAATAAACAAAATAAAAAATTGAAGATTTATTGGAAAACGACGGGACAATCCCAAACACCCGAAAAAAACAGTAGTGTCTCCTTCAGTGTGATACGTTTGGTCAGCCTAGCCAGTCATAAGCACCACAGAGCACTAGTAAAGGGTTGGTGGAGCACAAAGTGCAATTCTGAGCACGAAATGACGAGCGTTATTTTTGAAAAGGCCGCATTTTTCTTGTAACTGATGTTTAGCGCTAAGTGCTTCTACAATGCAACTTACATTTCCGATAAAACATCGACAATAGCATGACCATCTGAGTCAACATGAAATCCCACTTTTCTATCCCGCAACAAGCACGTCATCATTATATTTTGTCATCATCCAACCGTTACGCCGGACATCAGCGGCACGATCTGTACCCACACATGAGAGTAGGTTTTATTCGCATAATCCACGCCAATTGCTATCCATCCACCGATCGAGCGATGTTTATACCCAAAAGCAATCGCGCTAAAGAGAACAACAAACATTCAGCAAAGTTAGCGCAGTGGAACAAGATCACATTTACGGTTTTCCTTCCCTTAGCTACGGTTAGTTTTATCCATACCGGGTCGATCGTCTTTCGTACAGACAGATAACAGATAAGTGCACGCGCATAATTTCTAAATGTTATTGCAGAAACACTCTAAGGTCGATTGGATCGTTATCGGGCTTAAATGCGGGGGTGGCTAAGCAGCTCGACATATACCCAGAGGGGCTCGTTACTTGCCACCGAACTAGTGTTGTGGAGATCCGTTTGTTTACATTGGAAATTGGCAACGTCGGCCGGTGGTCTTCACCAAAATCGTTTGAAATCGGCGACTTCCTTATAGTCGGCCGATTTCGGCCAATCGCGCAATGAGAATAATTGATTATTTCTACACGAATGGGGGTACACGAAAAGTGTTAACCAAACATAGGACAAAACTCATCTCACCACGGTGAGATTGGGAGGATACAGTTGAAGTGCGTCCGAGAATCAGTATCATTCGAACAGCCGTCGAGGCGAAAAGGAACTGCTTGCTGCACCAACCTGAGAACATACCGGAAGAAATTCAAAAAAACCAAACCGAAGAGAAGCACTTGCTAGACGTTATATTACATTAACCCAAATTCGAACTCACACGAGGACGGTGAAATGTGCAAGGAGTTTTGCTAGCGACATGGAAGCCAAGTAAGTACTTGAAGGGATCCACCAAGGTCAACCGAGTGTTGATGGGGTGTAGTAAACCACTTTCGGAAAAAGTCGTTAAGGATGTTCAACTTGTAAGCGAAAGGAAACACGTGAACGAGTCAATTGAGGAAATCTATAATCCAATTATTACGAAGTGCCAAGTTGTGTGGAATATTAATGTTTACTTTTTTTGTCATGTGCCATGCAATGGCGATGTGCGGCCAAAAACTAATGAACATGCAGAAATGGTCGAGCGCTGTTGGGTTGTTGTATATGTAGTAGAAATCCTACTGTAGGATGCAAATGAATGTATGGGAAAAAAGTGACCATCGAATATATAAACTGTTTATTGGCTCGAAAAAGATCCAAAAATTGCAAAATTGCTCAATCGGACATGATTTAGAGGTGTGCCGGAAAGCGGTCGAAGAATGAACTTTTTTCATCTGAAAAATCTCCCAAGGTACATTAAATTTCAGTAATCGATCATTTTTTGTTGATGCCAAAATACTCGAGATCTGGTGATTTCGGCAAAAAACAAGTTTGACAAAAATCAACTTTCTGTGACTTAGAATTTTTCGTGAATTTGATACGTGATATGGAGGAACATTGATGAATTGGTTAATAAAATGGTTCATAATTATTTCCAAACTTCTTGTATATTAGCCCTGTTCATTTTAACAGAAATATTCGGTATGCACCGGGTCAACCGTGATTTCTATTTGTCCTGTTAATTTGAACTTATGTTCAAATTTTCAGCAAAATCGGTGATGATTTAGAGGTATTTTAAGGTATTTTCAAGGTAATTTTATGTTTTTAAGGTAATTTACGGCTTATAATATTTGTATCTCGAGACTCAAACAACGAAAACTTCTGTAACAATAGCAAAGCTTATTGTGTTATCTACAAACTTTGTGACCAAAGGTTGACTATTCAAAGTGATTTTATTGAAGTTTGACTTAGTTTTATGCTCGAAGATATCTTAAAACGTGAAGAATTTTAAAATATTTGTTCTACGAACTTTCCACCCTTATGATATAAAAATGTGTAGTCTACGTCATAATGCTTCTTATACTGTTCTAGAAATTTCGTTCAAACATAGTTTTCGTGTAGATTCCATAGATTGAGAGATAAAAAATTCAGAAAAGAGGCCGTTATAGCTAAAATTCACAAGACAACAGAGCCAATAAAAGTTTCAACTAGATTGACAGAACAAAGTTGCATTGCTTTTCAATGACGACCGATGACTGTTTCATTGATAGATGATATTTTTAGAAATATGAATCCTCAGTAGACGTGTTTTTTTGTCAAAGACAAGTGTCACTCGAGCCATCCAAAATGTTCGTTATTTTATAAATTGCTGTTATGCGTCGTGTGACACTTGCCTTTGGTTACAAAGTTTGTAGATAACACAATAAGCTTTGCTATGAAAGTTGTTACAGTAGTTTTCGTTGTTTCAGTACAGATAAACAGACGTAACTCTTCATTGTGTATCTTCGTTCACGGATTTAACGGTTGATTTGAATATTACCAGTTCCGCGAACTACTCGCCGTAGCGCTGGCTTTGGATCACTTTGACGTATCTATATATTCTATTGCACTTTCATGCAATATTGTTTGCGAGTTAGCGAGCAAGCTTGTTTTCCGCGAGAAGCCCGAGAGATGTCGTTATCGAGGTCCTATGTTTGAGATACTATGCTTCCAAGAAAAACTTTTTCAAAGAGTTACGTTTCAGTCTCGAGATACATATTTTAATAACCGTAAATAATAAACCGTAAATTACCTTAAAAACATAAAATTAACTTGAAGCACCAAAACCAAAACCAAACACATAGCTGATCTTGTGATATAATGTGTAAAAAAGTCTAAAATTTCAAGGAAAAATATGAAAACATATTGCGGCCTCTATCAAACCATAAAAAAAAACAAATACAATCAATGTTTTTCAATACAAAATCTCGTATTTTTTAATATAATTATATTTTTTCCTAAAAATTATTTTTAATTACCTTTCATTTGATATTTTGATCTTTGGAATCAGCCAGTGGGCTACCCTAACATGGATATGGTCACCCTAATGACAAAATTAAAAAAACGTGTCTAACAAAACTACCTATTTTTACGAAAATCTGAGAACCACTTTATCGTTTTGCTTTGGAATGACTGATATAGTATATTATATTAGAAATATTGAGATAATTGTGAACAATTATCAATTTATCAATATTCCATATTCTCGATCCTACTCACGAAAAAATCCTAAGATCGAGAAAGTCAATTTTAGCAATAAAAAAAATTCAGAGCGGCACCAGATCTCGACTTCCATGCAATTTGATGTCAGTTGGCATCGAAAAACAATTTCCAAAATTTCATATATTCCCTGCCTTGTAATATTTTTCAGATGAAAAAAGTACAATCTTTGACCGCACCGCAAATCATGCCAGATTGAGCCCAAATTTCGCATAGGGTTTATTTTTTTCGAGCCAATAAACATGTTGTACATGGTTCAATTGTAAAATTCAACATTACCGTTTTCATTGGTACCCTAACAGGTAGTCTGTGATGGATAACGATTTTCGACAATTCGCAATCGTCAACAGTGCGCTTACATAACAAAGTTCATAATGTAAAACTGCGAAAATAGAAAATCATACGAGCATACGCGCACCACTTTCGAGACTTCATGTCGCAATCGTGTCGTTAAGGTTTTGGGTAAATACTGTGGCGTGATCTTACTCAAGATAAAACAAAGATCCCATCTAGAAAGTGAAGGTGGTGCTGGAAAATTAGTACATTCATAATTCTGAAACCGAGGGCGACCGGATTTTTTGATCAAACAGCACGCGTAGCGAAAAAAGTTCCATCAGACTATGGTATCCGATTGTGTTTCTTAACAATTAGATCGATTGCTATTTATAGCGGTCAGCCATCAACGGCTCAGAATATTGATCCGCTCTAACTGAGGGTGAATTTCCTATAGCTGAAACTGGAAAAACCCAACAACTTTACTTTACATGCATGAAGCTTATTTTAATTGGAAATACATTACGACGTACGGAGGGATATTTGTTCTACGCTAGCTGTCCACGGGCCTCCCTTAGCTCAGTCGGTAAAGCAAGACCATGCTGGAGGTGGCTGGGTTCGATTCCCAGTCCGGTCAGGAATTTTTCGGGTTTGAAAATTTCTCGACTTCCCTGGGCATAGAAGTATGATTGGACTTGCCACACAATTATACCAATTCCAAAAATGGTACAGGCATCGAAAGCTCTCAATTAATAACTGTGAAAGTGCATCTAGAACGCACTAAGTTGACAGCACGCAATAAGCTAAAAAATGCTATAAGCATTAAGCTTGAAATGCGAAGAAGAAGAAGAAGCTGTCCAAAAGTCGATTTCTCAAAATAAGCCAAAACAGATTCTGAATGCATTTCATAATACCTTATTATTATTTCATAATAGCGTACCTTACTCCAAAACATGACTCCGCCCATTTTTGACCAAACTATTTTGTTATCCTTGAATAATAAGATGTATGTGACAAGTTAGCGTGGTTAAATATTTTTGGCCAGTTAGAATTAATAAATACCCCACTGTGCGACACTGGGTAAAGCCCCAGTTTGGGATTTGATATTTCAAGATAGAGCTGGAATACGGGCGTTACAGCTTTTGTAAACAATGACTTCTTTCGATGATTTCTTGAAAGTCAAGACTCGCCCACTCAAATAACCATCACCATCAGGTTGGGGAAGACTTCCCCTACCCGGCGATAATGTTGGTTTGCGTGGGCGTTGAATTCCTAGAAATCTCGCGTAACATTTGAATAGGGCCTATGATCAAAATGTAAACAAACCGATTTTTGATACCATTCTGTAGCACTGGTAAATAGCTACCAGTCGTATAGGAATGTTCCGCATTATCGATAAAAATCATTAAAAATAACTTGATTTTAAAAACGGCCGATCCACGAAATTTTTCCAATAATTTATGCTAAAACGGCCTAAGGGCCTGTTCATAAACTACGTAGACAGTTTTTTGGGATTATTGACCCCCCCCCCCTCCCCCTGCGTAGACAATTGTCCATACAAAAAAATTAAAATTTGTATGGGCCGTGGATAATTGTCAACCCCCCCCCCTAAACTGTCTACGTAGTTTATGGACAGCCCCTAACCTCGGGCCTAACATATTTTTTTTTCGTTCGATGAGGTTCCATTCATAAGCCTAGCGACGTAGAAGGGCCGATGATTGAAAAATTTCAAATCAAAGCTAGGCCCTACTGCATGAGGCAGGGCTGATGATTTATTTGACGTTAAGAAAAGGCTTAGCAAAGGGCCTACAATTTATGATGACAAGTACAATGGCTTAACAAAAAGGGCCTAACCATTTAAAGATTCACAAAAAGGCTTATTACTGTGATATTAAATTTTTATCGATTTTCATGTATTTTTGAAAACGTTTCGCATGTTTTGGATGTTGTGTACTGAGATATAGTTACTATTGTTATTGTGAACAATATAAATGCCTAAAATACTTCAATTTATTTATATAGGAATTAAATACTGGCAGAAAAATTTACAATTCATTTTCTGGATTGTTTACATTTTGGACATAGGCCCTTTTCAAATGTTACGCGAGAAATCATCGAGAGAAGTAATTGTTTACAAAAGCTGTTACGCCCCTATTCAAGCTCTATCTAGATTTGTTTCTTTATTGTTGATGCAACCTGTTTGATCTTGGATCGACTTATGACGCAAAGTTTGCTTGAGAATCAGCTGGATGATATGCCGCCATGTTATTGAAACTAGAGTCGGTGTATAATGAGTCACGCCAAGAGAAAAACAGTTGAACTCGCATCACGGTTTTCGAAAGAATCCCTTTCTTTTAACTTGGCAACAGAGGACTTCTGCATCAACTTCAAATGACTTCTAGCAAGGAAAAAAAATTAACGGCTGTAGTAAATCATTATATCAGTGATTTTGTCGAATTATCTTAAGGCAAAATAGTAGA